TAGGGAGTTTGTAAATAGTTTAAATGAACAATTATTCTCTTTATTTCAAATCAAACACTTAATAACCTCTGCCTACCATCCTCAAACCAATGGTCAAGATGAAAGAACTAATCAGACTATTAAGAAATCTCTATCTAAATTGTTTAATGATACCCAGGACAATTGGGATTAATTGTTAGAAGGTGTTTTATTTGGTCTGCGCACATCTGTGCGAAAGTCAACTAAATTTACATCCTTTTTTTAATGTTTGGCAGAGAAGCAAACTTGTTCTCAACTTTATCACTGAATAATAGTGATTCTGATACTAATGACAATAACATTGTTAAAAGTAATGCATTGGATGAGCAAATTCAAGAAAAATTGGGTTCATATAGTAAAGTTGTTACAGAAGTAAATAACAATATTTGTCATGCCCAAACAAAAATGAAAAATTATTATGCCTCAAAACAACTTAAAGGATGGAAATTATTTACATTTAAAACAGGCGATCAAGTTTTAGTTAAAAATTATAAAAAAATAAATCGTAAAGGAAGTCGGATAGAACATGATTGGTTGGGACCGGGAATCATTTCAGAGTTAAAACAAACTGGTGCTACTTTAACTGTCAATGGTAAGATTTGGAAAAAAGCTGCTTCTTTATCCAACATGAAGCCTTATATAGTTGATAAGCAAGTATTGTCGGCAGAATTGCTTTTAAAAGAACATGATTATTATTGAAAATGACAAATCAATCATATAAAAAAGAAGATTTAAAAAAAAGGAGTTCTAAAAAGAAGCACATATCAGAACTGAAATGTTAAGACAAAAAATTAAGATAAAAAAAAATTAAGATAAAAAATATAAAGATAATAAAAAAAATTAAGATAAAAAATATAAATCTGTTAAAATGGAAATCTCTACATCATTTCTATCTGACAATAAAAGCATTTTAAAACATAAAAAATTGATTTAATAATGTAATAAGAGGTAGCTGTAACAACTGGTGTTAACAGTTGTGGAGCGCAATAACAGTTGATATTGTACTGTATCAGCTTTGCACAATTCCTAAATTTCTAAATCAAATTATCTTAAAAACAATTTTGTAATAAAATGTTTTTGCAAATGTTTGATTTATCTAGTTTGTTTTTGAACTGATTTATTGATTCTGCTTCTATTATGTCACTCGGTAGATTATTCCATATGTTGACTATACGGTTAGAGAAAAAATTTGATCTCATAGTATTCTTGCAGAAGAGTTTTTTTAATTTGAATTTATGTTGCCTCAGATGGGGGCCTTCTTGTGACGCGGTATAATTGTAGTTTGAAACCCATTTTACTTTATCAAACCCATGTTCAATTTTATACTGTTGGATTAGATCGCCAAGTATTCGGCGTTCTTCTAGAGTTGTTAATTTCGTAATATCTAATCTTTTCTCATATGGTATTTTTTTTAATGCTGGCACTAACTTTGTGGCTCTTCTTTGGATTTTCTCAATTTTATCGATGTCTTGTCTTAAAAATGGACACCAAGCTTGAATCGCAAATTCAAGTTGTGGCCGAACAAATGTTACGTACAACTTTTTCACCATATGTGTGTCAACGTATTTGAATGTTCTTCTTATAATACCAAGCACTGAGTTTGCTCTGCCAACAACTGTATCAACTTGAGTTTTCCATTTTAAATCAGATTGTATCATTATACCCAAATCTCTTTCAGTTTCAGTAACTGATATGCTATGATTTAAATTGGTGTCAATATCATGCATTATGAACAGACGATTAGGATTTTTTCTTTCAATATGCATAATCTTGCATTTGTCATAGTTAAACTCTGTTTGCCAAGTAGATGACCATGCCATGATATTGTCTATGTTTAATTGAAGTTTTTTAGCATCACATGAATTGGTTATTATGTTAATAATTTTACTATCATCGGCGTAAAGTTTCATGTTGTTATTCACACGATCCGGTAGATCATTTATGAATAACAGAAATAGTAACGGTCCCAGAACTGATCCTTGTGGTACACCGCTGATAACTGGTAACCAATTTGATACACGGTCCCCAAGAACAACTCTCTGCTTCCTATTGCTTAAGAACTATTCTATCCATTTTAGATAGTTGCCTATAATCCCATATGATTTTAATTTATGGACTAAACGTGAATGTGGTACTTTATCAAATGCTTTAGCAAAATCCAGATAAAGCATATCTATAGAACAATTATTTTCTAAAGCATCTGTGAGGATATCTAAGGTCTCCAATAAGTTAGTTAAGCAGCTTTTATTTTTTCTAAATCCGTGTTGATTTTCATTTAGTAAACCATTCGTCAATAAATAATTCATCATTTCGTCTCTAATGATTGATTCTAACACTTTACATGGTATTGATGTTAGTGAAATCGGTCTATAATTTGATGCATCACTTATTTCTCCTTTTTTAAACAAATGAGTGACATTTGCCAATTTCCATAACTCTGGTACTTTTTTTTCTTCTAGAGATTTTTTGAATATTAGTATTGTTTGCAAATGGTGTTATGACATTTGTTCATTACATATGGACTAATTCCATCTACACTAACAGATTTGTTGATATCTAATTGTTCTAATTTCTTTTCAATTGAGTCACGAGTGATTAGATTGTCTACATCTAATTGTATAGTCTTATTAGTTTTAGTTGTAACAAGTGGAATATTATCTTTATTTTCATGAACAAAAACAGAATTGAAACTTTTATTTAAGATATTTGCAATTGCTTCTCTATTTGTAAGAAGATAACCAAATTCATCGAAAATTGACGTTATGCCTGATTTAGTTTTGTTGTTTGCATTCACATACTCATAGAAAACTTTAGGATTGTATTTTGACTTTTCAATAATCTTCTTCTCGTATTCGATACGGTTACGCTGAACAATTTCGACTGATTTGTACTGTTGTTTGTATTAGTATTAGTATTAGTATTAGTTTATGCTGCGACTGGTATTGACACAGTGAGTGTGGTTTTAAGCACACTAAAACAGCTGAATCCCGTGATGGTTTGACTTCCATCGATGAAGTTTTGCTTTGAATGAATTTGTTGAAGTAGCCCTGACAATATTTTCCGGCAGTGCATTCCAATAATTTGCAGCTCGATTAAGCAAAATATTTTCTCTATACTTATTTAATGAAAATTTTTTAGAATATTTCAGGCTTTGCCCACAAGTACAATTTGATTTTAAATTTCTTTATATTCAACTTTATCATAACCTTTGAAAATTCTATATAGTTGTATTGTTTTGATAAATCTGATGACTTGTAATTATTCGATATTAATTTCTTCCATAAATTTGCTTTCTCTCTAATTTCTGCTTTTGTAAATTTGTCAATCCACGGTGTTAATTTCTTTTTAGTATTAATACGCTTTGGTATATATTTATTGGATAGCTCTTGATATTTTTTAACAAATATCTCAAAACATCCATTGATATTTTTATTGTGGAACAGATTTGACCAATCAGTGTACTTGAACTCATTATTCATTCCATTAAAATTCCCTCTTCTAAAATTAAATGTTGATTTACCATATGATTCTTTTGTATTGATATGCGTTTGTAATTCATAATGCGAAAATAATACGTGATGTGCTTTATCTATGTTACCTAATGGTGGATTATGATGTATCAATAAAATACGTTCTGGTGCTTCTGTCAAAACTAAGTCTAGTGTACTGCCTTCTGATGACAATGCAGTTAAATTAAATGTACAGTTCATTACATTTTGATGTAAATAAACATCATTTATGATATCCAAAAATTTTATTGCTGATGCATCATTGTTTGCTATTGTCTGAACGTTTTTATCACTCCATTTTATATTCGGGTAATTGAAATCACCAGCTATCATAATACCTGAAAATTTCTTACTATCAACATAAGTTTTCGCTTTGTTCAGGATGGTATTAATTTTTTGATTTAGTGCTTCTGATGCGTCTGGTGGACGATATATGCAGCCAATTAATATGCTTTCATTTTCAATTTTAATAACGCACCACACTTGTTCAACCGATGTATCATTGAGAACTATTTCCTTTGGAGCACAAACAACGCAATTATTTTTTACATAGATAGCTACCCCACCACAACGACATTTACTTGAATTTGTACTGCACCGATTACTATTAAAAATATTATAATCCTCCACATGTATTAAACTTGAGGGCATAAACCACGTTTCACTTATCATAAATACATCAGGAGTGTATGTGGCTATTTCAAATAAAAAGTTCAAATTTTTTATTGAGCGAAGTTGCATTCGTGTACCTGCACTTAAGGTGAGATTTTAACAATGCTGTAGAATTTTCGTTCAATATCACTAAATTATTTGATAAACCATCATTTCTATGTCAATCTAAATCTAAATTACAAACATTTGAAACACCAACTTTCCTATTATGTACATCTTTTATCATTAAACTATCAGATAGAAGGCAGTCTTCATTAGCATTTAGAATTGAATTAGATACAGGATTATATGTTGAAAGGACAGCCATTACTGCAGGTTGATGCAAATTAAATGATGATTGCTATTGCTTTGGTTTTTTTATGAGTTTCACAATTTTAAAATTTCTTAAAGTGTAGTAGTATTCATCGTTTTGATTTAGGCTAGCATTTAACAATTTAACTTCACTACGTAGCTGTTTAAAGAGATCTCTTTCTGATTCTGTCATATCTAAGTTAAAATAAATTTCGTTTATCTTGTTTCTGTTAATGTATGCAGCTCTTAATACACTTATTTTGTCTGACACATTGTCTAACTCAATGATAACTGGTGGTATTTTTGATGTGTTTCTTGTTTTGAGTAGGATGACTTTTTTTATTTTGTTCTTGTCTGCATTTATTGAGTCAAAAATATCGTTTACCATATCTTCATCAAATTCTTTCTTGTCAATATTATCATGATTTCCTAATTTAACACCAAAAATAATAATATTATTTTTTCTTTTATTGCGTTCTTTTTCCTCATGAAATCAAAACAACTCTTAATTATTTCGTGACGTCAATCTAGGAACAGCGACACCGACACATTCTTAGTTTAAAAAATATTTCTAAAATGGCGGTCTGTTTTGCAGCAATTGGCGGCAGTCAGTTTAAAGAATTAGTAATAAATAGCTCTGTTTTTGTAGATAAAAGTCTGCTGATAAAGGACTTTATTGAAGACTCTGGTGAAACGTTGTTAATAACTTTTCCCGAAAGATGGGGCAAAAGTATCAATTTAGATATGATCGAAACGTTTTTTACTTTAGAAGTTGATAAAAATGGAAAACCCTTGCCTTTAAAAGAAAGATTCAATTGCAAATTGTTTTTGGGAGGGGTAATTAATTTAGAATTTAAAGAGCCTAAAAAGTTAGACCTCTTGCAAATTTCAAAATTTGAGTCAATAATGAAGCTGCCTGGAAACTTTTCTGTTGTAAGAATTGATTTTAAGAATGCTAAAGGCGAAACAAATATTGAAGTTTTATCGAAATTGCAGTTATTGGGAAGAGAGTGGAAGTATTGACTTTTTTAAAAAAACATTACAAATTCCAGATTTAAAATTGCAATTAGAGCAGTTAATAAATGGTGAGTCTGTTAAATTTAATTTAAATACTCAAATTACTAATAACGATTTTCAAGTATTGAAAGCATTATTAACTTCAGATTCTGGTTGCTATTTCTGTAATACAGTTAGTATTTTTTTTCTTTCCTTTTTTTTTTTTTAGGTATTTGACAGGCGATTTGGTAAATAGATTTTTTTTGCCTAACTTTGAAATTAAAATTGAGATGGAAAAAAAGTTATGTTCCTATTATATAGATAAGTTTTGTGTTGATAAAAATCTATTTGAAAATGTTACAGTTCTACTAAAAAGTCTTTTAATCACTGATAAGCAAAATGTTAACAATCAAGAAGTTGAAAATTTTAAAGATTCTTTTAAGGAGCTTTTAAAAGCTTTCCCAAGATTTATATATTTAAAAAAGGAGGATGTCAGTGTTTATAATGATAAAAAAGCTCTTTATGGTAATGAAGATCTTATTCATTGTGCAATGGGATTCATATGTCTCCAGATAAAACAATTATCAAGATTTGGGAATGAAGTTTACATTGGCAAGGGTATTGCTAATATATTTTTAATAAATGAGAAAAGAAATAAAGCATGTGTAATAGAACTTAAATATAATGATACTGCACAAGCTGCCATTGAGCAAATAAAGACTAAGGAATATGCTAAAAAAATTTCTAGTGAAATGAATACTTTAATTTTTGGCATAAATGTATCTCAGGATAAAGAAGTTGATATGATCTGCTTTGAAATACTCAAAGGTAAGAATTTTTTTTAAATTTAATCTGCTTCAAAATACTTTAAGGTAAGAACTTTTTTTTTTATATTTACCATATGTAATTTTTTTTGTGATTTATTTTTTTCAAGTTTTTGATAATCTAGCTAAAGTTTAAATAAAGTTTATTCTTTATTGTCCTAAATTTGTCTTTTAATATGTCATAAATAAATTTTTTTAATAGATTAACAGAAAGTCTCTTAGATTAAATACATTATCAAGAACTATATTTTCTTCTGGTTTGCATCAAACCTTTGATTTTTTTTTTTTTCAATTGTTTTAATCTACAAACAATCTAGACATTTTAGTTAAAACAGATATATAAGTGTCAATTGTGTTAAACATGCACCTCCCAAAATAAACTTTTAAAACAATTAGATTTTTTTCTGCCTGAAAAGAACAGCAGAGTTTCTAAAACGATTGATACTTTATTGGATACTAGTTTGTACAAAACTATCACTTAACCTATTTTGAGTTTTTTTGTGATATCTTTATGCATAGCTATGGTCACTGTTATGGACTATTCTTTAACACTTAAATACCCACCATACTAGGGACCAGCGAAGTTGACTTTAAGACTCTAAGTTATATGAAAGACGAATTTAGATTATATGCCTATACCGAATATAACTCAAAGACGAACTTAAGCTGTATATGTAGTCTGAGTTTAACTAAAAGATGAATTAGGATTTCTAAACCAAATTTAACTGAAAGACGAATTTGGATTTTAAAAGCACATTTAATTAAAATAGAAAATTTTAAAGACTTTTTTTAAGTTTGAAAATTTTTTTTTTTAGATCTAGCGGTTTTGCCACAGAGTATATCAGAAAAGTATTAAACTAGAAGGTTTAAATCCTTTTTCTTATGGATGGTGCAAAATATGCCTAGAGCTTGCTTTGAACCCTAGATCTATTGCTTCTAAAGCAAGTGCTCTAAACCACTGCGCAGTGGTTGCTGTATAATCTTTTTTTATAAAGTAAAGTTATTGTTTTTAGCTTGTAATTAACCACAATTTCAAACTTAACATAGAACAAGTGAAGCCAAGTAAATTTTAATTTTCTAAAAAAGAATATGCTTACAAAAAATACTATACGTCAAAACAAAAAATCTAAAAATTCAGTAAAAATGAAAATTTAAGTTATGGAGTCTTTACATTTTTTAATGGTTTTGAATGAACAAGAACGATTTTTTTTTTTTTTCAACTCAATTCATGTTTTCAAAGTTGAGTGGGCTACTTTAGTCAAGGAAGCTACTTCTTGTATTGTTTACAACCATCTCTCAACTCTGAAAGAAGATCGTAACCAATAGAAACAGGTTGATATACATAAAACATATAATATATTTTATAATTCTTCTTTATAAATTGAAAAAATTTCTATAGCTTTCGAATTTAACTGAAAGTTAAATGAAAATTTGAAATTGTTACCGAATTTAACTGAAAGTGGAATTTCTATTCAGCTTCGGGACCGAAGTTAAAGCCAAAGTCAACTTCACCTTTCAGTAAACTTCGTAATCCGAATTTTAACGAATATTCGCCGGTCCTTACACTATAATACCTCTCATGGTACCCTGTCTAATACTTTTTCTAGCTCAGCAAAAAAAATTTACAGTTCTTTTTTCTTTCTTAAATCTGCTTTACAAATTATTTATTGATTGGTCAACCAATTTTATTCCTCTCTATAAACCACATTCTAATGCATCTCTTTAAAATATCTTTTCCATTCAACTTTTTTTTTTAACTTGTAATTTTGCCTAAAATTGCATTGCAAAGAACACCACTGTAAAATTAACCACAACACAATATGAGCAATGCAAGTAAAGTTGCATTTCAAAAAACACCACTGAATAACCACATCCCTTGAAGCCGTCAGCATCTCAGCCAATATACCAGAAGTACTAGCAACCTTACCTATTGGAATTCTAACTGAGAAATTTAAAATTTCTCTTCACTTCATGAGCGCTATGTTATAAGCTCTGCAGGTCCACTCACTTTATTAACTGCAGGTAACTCTTCATAATTCTAATTTAACTTTTCATTAGCAGTTTTTCAAATTGAGCCATCCACCATATTTCGATTTCAATATCATTTGTGTGTGTGTCTTACCAGGTACTTCTTTATCTAACAATGTCAGTATTTTTTTAACCATTTCTTTTACTACTCAAAAGACTGCATCTCTTTTGTTCATTGAATCTAGCATCTTACCTATATTTCTTTATTAAATCTTTATCAAATCGGGCTTTTTATATAACCTGGTTTGCTTTGCACTTTGCCCTTTTCTTAAATGTTCTTTTCGATAAGATTACATACTTCCTGTTGTGAAATTGTAATAAAAAAGTTTACTTTAATATTTTGGTTTTTATCAAATATGAATTTAAATTTAAGAACTACAAAATGGGTTATATAGTATATTAATTATCTAAAATTAAATAACTCTATAAATTTAACCATATCATTTCATTTAACAGTATTATTTCAAATGACTGAAAGTGACATCAATTACTTAGATGGCCATATGAGTTAAAATATAACAATCTTCTCTGTTTAAAAAAATTTTTAGTATGAGGTGTAATGACTTACTCTTAGATAAAAATCTATGAAGGAAAATAGTCATCAAGATACTTTGGCATTTTATTCATACTTCTTTTTCTTGAGGTTATATTAGGTTGTGTGTTAGTAGTAGGAACTTTTTGTTTAGAGGGATGGCTAGGTAATGTTGTAGGTTATTTATTACAGGAGATGCTATCCTTTATTGGGTTCCCAATCAAATACTGTGGGTTTGAGGCTACTTCATTTGTGTCATTCAAATCCTCTTGGTTTTTATTTCCAGAATATGATAAAAAAATAAGGGTTTTGAAAAATTTTTAAATTTGAAATATTTTTAGGGGTTCCCTAAGACTTTGAACATATAGCAAAATCCTAAAATTATTAAATAAAAAATTCTTCAAAAGTGTATCATGTTAGGTCTCAAATGAAGTGTAATCATGAAAATTTCAAAAATGATAATTATATTGTAAAAAGCCCGAGTAGGTATCACAACTTTTGCCAACTAATAAAAACAAAACAAAAAAGGTCCTTGTTTTTCAACATTTGTTGACTGTCTAAATATACACACTAACTTGTCTGAAGGGTCTACATTTACCAACTGACTTGTCAAAAAGGGTCAAATTTGGTGACTAAATGAACAAAAAAATCATTGACAGGGGTGTCACCCCACACACACACACACACACACACACACATACACACACTCCCCCATTGCGCCAGCCTTGTGTATAGGATTGTGGAATCCTGTTCTGTTAGGAAGTTTGATAGATCTGTACCTATTATTAATGAGTGTTAAAAAATCATCATCCTCTGATGGGGTGTTTTGTTAGTAGTAGTACACAGAAGTCCTCTTACAAAGGATAGAGCCATTTGCAATACTACTTCCCATATTTCTTTTCCTAGACTTCTAGTTTTCAGGGGCAGATACAGAGTAGTTCAGATTTTAATGACATCATTTCTTTCTGGAAATACTTTGAGTTTTATGCTTTCAAACTGTGCTCCACGATCTGTGTTTATAGATGATGATGCACCAAATAATAAAAGGAGATTAAGTGATTGAAAAAGGACATTGGTTAGGGTTAAAAAAAGTATTTTGGTTTCCGTTTTTTTTCAGTATTGTATATTTAATGTTTGCTAATTCTAAATGCTAGTGATTTAGTTTTTATTTTTTATTTTTTGTTTATTATTTATTGAAAATAAGGATAATAGATTTTTGACCTGTAGTTATAATAATATATGGTACTAAATTAAATGTGCTTACATTTTCTGGAGCATTCTTTTATGGGAGTCGTTTCTCAATAATTGTGGGATTTCTATTTCAGTATTAGTTTGTGTTCTTAGGAAGGCCATGGGTATGCCTAGTTGTAGTAACGTTCCTCCTAGTGCTGTGTCAGAGGTATCTTTTTTAATTGTTAGCAGAACTTTGAAGTTAAGAGGCAAGTGTCTACAAGTTTAATTTTGAGCTTTTTAGTTGCTTCTTTGGCATGTCTTCATGCCAGGTCAGGTTATCCTGCTACTGATAACATGTGACACAGTACAATCTGCTTCATTTCCTGCTGCCTTGTAGGGTACGCTTTTTTAAGCAAAGGTTAGGAGAAGCCAACTCCAACTTAAAACACCCCCTGTCTTGGGACTCTTGGTTTATTTAAGGCTAGAGATGGTGTCTATAAAAATACTTATCATGTTAAATGCATCTGGCTACTGTCTTGTTGAAGGCCTCCTAGGCAAAGACTTAAAGGGTAAACAGATTCTATTTGTTGACCAGCCTCGCACACCTTCCTCATCTATTAGGCTGGCACAGATGTATTTATAATACATTGTTTCCAGTTTAGGATTTTGAATGCTAGATCTTCTTGACTCGATGCATGGGTTTTGCTTGTGTCTCTGTTTCTATAACTAGGCAACTCTATTATCTCCTAATGAGGGTACAGCCTAAAACTCAGTTTTATGGTTCTGAGGCCGGCTGGTAGTCAGGTTTCTTGAACTCTGTGGTAGCAAAGGTTTTCAGAGAAGCTGAAAGGTTCTCAGATAGGCTAGAAAGGTTCTCAGCTCTCAGAGAGGCTGATTCCATCAACAGCTAAAAAATATCAGACTTCTATCAGTACTATGTTGCGCATGGATGGTGTCCCTATTCGTACTTTTGGTGTGCATTGTTTAGGGAACATTTGGAACCCTTTGTTATAGCTTAGGGTTTATTAATAGTAATGAGGCAATTGCTTGGGCTATTAAACAGTGTACTGAGTACTGTCCACATGTTCTTTAACAAATTTAAAAATGACTAAAGTACCAATAACTATAAAATAAAAAAAACCATCTTCATCACCAAGTTTTATAAACCTATCATTCTTTAATATTTGTGGTCTTCAAAGTAACTTTTCTTCTGTTGAGTCTTATCTCTTGTGAAGTTCACCAGACCTACTTGCTCTTTGTGAGACTAGTTT